TTTGAAATTATCTTCCTTGCTCCTAAAACCTGCATCGCTCATTAACTGGCCAATTCATTTGTGGCCACTTAATGCTCAGGACCAATTCCTACATATACTGTATATGGTTGCACTTTAAAGTGTATGTTCACCAATCAGCTTTATAAAATTCTTGGGAAACTGAGACAAAGCTCTCCCCTCAGTTACCGCCCCATGGCCATAAGGAATTGCATTCAACTTTATGCAAAGTTGAGTTTCCACCTGGACTGCGCTTTTTTTGTACAAAAAAAAAACTTGTACTGAGAGAAGTATAAGGGCTTCTATTGCTTATCTCTTCTTTTGAAAATGGAAGTTGCTTGGCTGGTATACTGTTCAAGTGTCCTCCGTGGCTTCAAATTGCCAACCTGGAAAAAGTCTGCAGATCAGGTTTGGTTTTGCCAGGTCCTAGGGTCTCAATCCATGCTAGGGGTTTTAATTAGCTGGGAGTGTCTTAGCAACGCCCTTGCCATAAGGCAGGATGGAATAATGCTTTCTCTGGGAGAATTTTGAGGCTTCAGAGGGTATGTATGTAACACCCTCCTAGTTAGGTTGCTAGTGGAGTTATGGCAACTTTAGTTTTTTGGCTCTTCTGAAATCAGTGGAGCAGAGTGTGATTATTTTTGGCTGTTCTGGGTCCTTCTGGTTGCAGGCTCAACTATATACTTCTACCTTATAGTGGGTTCAAGAATGTGGTAGGCTGGAAGAGGCAGATCCTGGACTTGAATATTCATACAGCCCCAGCCAATCCCTGGGGAAGAGAATGATCAGTAGGGGGCTAAGGGGTCTATAAATAGTCTGGGACCTGTAACAGTGGGGTTCTTGTCTAGAAAGAGAAGACCCAGCCTGAAGGACTGCCGCCCTTCTGAGCAGATGAGCTGAAGTGGGCAGGAGTTCAGTGAGGTCCCAGCTCAGGGAGAGCTGGGGGGGGGGCTACTTTCTGAAAAGTAGCAACGAGTTCCCAGCTTGGGAAGAGCCTGGGGCCTGTTTCTGAGAATTTCTGAAGCCAACCCAGAAATCACTGTGGATCTATAACTGAAAAAGCAAAAAAAAGGGGAGCACTGGTGGTAAGCAATATACTCACAAAAGATGAGTGAGACAAAGGTTCATCATTAACAACAGCATCATCAAATCCACAGAACATCACATCCCATCACAGGGTAAATGGACATCCAACAGGCTAACGTGTTTCAAGGACTTGCCTCTTCTTCAGAGTCAGCACAAATGTCTCCCGCACCCTCTCTTAAATTATGTAGTATCAAGACTGCATGTCAGGCGTGGGCTGTATCTGACCCACCCAATGGGCAGGGAATTATCCCATGTGTAACTCATCTTAACATAGTACACAAAGCCATATGCATCTACTAAATAGGGAGATGTAATATACTGCTTATGCTCAATTAAAATGAAATAAAATTAGTAAAATGTGGAACATCTAAAAACACGAGGATCTGGCCTGGGGGCTCACAGTAGAAGTATCTGGCTGGTATTGCAAGAAGGCATCCAAGTACACAGGGAGACCGTGAGAATAGGCTGAAGAGAGAGAGATCCTGGTGATCGTTGCTGCTTAATCCCTTAAGTGCTTGGTCCAGAGTTGCTGACTTGGGACTGCTCTTGTAGTTGGAATCCTCTGAACTGTCTGTTTCCCTTACCGCTAGTCAAAAAGGGGCCCACCTTGAGGAGTTTTGGTATTACCAGAGAGAGTGTTCTCTGTGTCACTGTGCATTAAATTTGGAGTATTCCAAGGATCACCCTTACCCCAACCAAGTTCAATCAGCATTAAACTGCAAAAAGACACTCATTACCTGGTTACACTTTTGTGTGCCTGGCTGCCATGCACCCAATAGGAAATAGAACCTTGGCCAACATTGCCAGGATGGTCTGGGGTCTGTACCACACATAAATGTTTCTATGTATATCCCCCCCCCCCCCCCCCCCCCCCCCCCTTTACCTACATAGGCATTTTTTTGTAAAGGTGAACTAACCCTTTAATTTGATAAACCATCATTTACAATGTTGCAAGTGTTGAAGCCAGAGTATCCAGAAGCTAACATTTCTGGCAACCTGCATGGTTCTCTTGGTACAAGTTTCCTTTAAAAAGCAAATGCTCCAACATAAGCAGAATGCAAATTCTATAATTACATTTCCACAGCATCTGAGCTCCTCTCTAATGTTTACATTTTTCCTGCATTTTAAAGAGCATATGACTCAGGCAGGGCAGTGTTTCTCCTACCTTCATAATGATATGTTTTCAGGAGAACCATTTGCAATAACCGCTGTGGCTTACCTTTGATGTCTTGCATGTATAGTGCTGTATGCAGAGATCTAGCTTTACTCTCAAACCAATAATGAGGCTGAGAAACAGCAGGTCCAGGGTAGGGCTCAAGTCTGGTAAGGTGGTAGTGTTGTGCTGTAAAAAGGGAATGTGATTAGATGGTACATTAACAATCATAAAAGATGGTTCTGAAACCTGTAGTAGGTGGAGATGGAAAACTACAGACTTCATAGACTTCATAGAGCAAAAGCACACCAGTGGTAAACCAGAAAGAATCAAGGGGAGTAGTTTTGTACCAGTAGCATTAGAAACATTTACATCAAGATTTGAATTAGATCAGCCATGCTCAACCATGTTCTGTGGAACTCTAGGATTCCTCCTAAAGACTCCTTGAGCTATGACTGATTAACCTTCCATCTGATCGTGCCTTCATAGTTCCAGGGCTAATGCTACATGGTATAACTTGCAGCATTACCTAATTACCTGTTTATCTGCCTGTAAGAGAGGCATTCTTTCTGCTGACCACCAATGTAGGCTATATTTTTCTTACTGACTTTCAATAAATTGGTTTCATTATGGGTTCCCCAAAACCTGATTATTTTAGGGGTTTCTGTGGGGTAAAAAGGTTGAGAATGGCTGAATTAGTCTGTTAAATGTCAAAAGCACATGGGTTCCTTAAGTGTAATTTATCTGTTACAATATAACAATACAACTGTCTCTACTAACAGCATGTTGAGTAGGTGCATTATTGTGCAGTGGCAGAAGGCACACAGAGTTTTGGATTGCAGATAAAGATTTTGGAACTAAAACAGTATGAGTGCAGAGTCAAGAATGAACAGGCCTGAGCTGGACACAGCAACTGTCACAATGAGCAGAATGCGGCCTGATCAGTCCATCCCAAAGGGGAGCTTGCTGAAGCTGCAGAGATAGGCCTAAGCTTTCCATACTCCTTGGAAACTTCTGCTTACCACTAGTGCTGTCCCTTAAAAATTGGTAATCTGTCCCTACACTAGCCACTCGCAAAATGCACTCCAAAACCCAGAAGCTTTGCGTGATGGCCACCAGGGTCACTTGGATCCAGAATAGCCAACCGGATTGCTGCTCCAGGAGACTGAGGAAGTCATAGAGAAACCCACTCTCTCTTGACTTCCTCCTCCAGCTGCATTGCTGTTGGACAAGCACCATATGCAGTGCAGAATGTAGAATATAGCCTCCTATAAACACAGATACACTGCTCAAAAAAATTCAAAGAACACTATGAAAACACATCAGATCTCAATGGGGAAAAATATCATGTTGGATATCTATACTGCTATGGATTGGGTAAGGTGTTAGGACCATAAGGATGCCCCCTCGTTTGATGGAAATGAAAATTATCAACTTACAGAGGACTGAATTCAAAGACACCCCAAAAATCAAAGTTAAAAAATGATGCAGAAGGCTAGTCCATTTTGCTGAAATTTCATTGCAGCAACTCAAAATGGTACTCAGCAGTTTGTATGGCCCCCACGTGCTTGTATGCATGCTTGACAACATCAGGGCATGGTCCTAGTGAGACAACGGATGGTGTCCTGGGGTATTTCCTCCAAGATCTAGACCAGGGCTCCCAGATCTAGACCAGGGCATCCCTGAGCTCATGGACAGTCTGAGGTGCAACCTGGTAGCGTCGGATGGACCGAAACATGATATCCCAGAGGTGTTCTATTGGATTTAGATCAGGTGAGCATGGGGGCCATGCAATGGTATCAATTCCTTCATCCTCCAGGAACTGCCTGCATACTCTTATCACATGAGGCTGGGCATTGTCATGCACCAGGAGGAACCCAGGACCCACTGCAGCAGCATAGGGTCTGACAGTGGGTCCAAGGATTTAATCCTGATACCTAATGGCAGTCAGGGTGCCATTGTCTAGCCTGTAGAGGTCTGTGCATCCCTCCATGGATATGCCTCTCCAGACCATCACTGACCCACCACCAAAATGGTCATGCTGAATAATGTTACAGGCAGTATAATATTCTCCATGGCTTCTCCAGACCCTTTCACGTCTGTCACGTGCTCAGGGTGAGCCTGCTCTCATCTGTGAAAAGCACAGGGCGCCAGTGGTGGACCCGCCAATTCTGGTGTTCAATGGCAAATGCCAATCGAGCTCTATGGTGCGGGGCAGTGAGAATAGGGCCCACTAGAGGAGGTCAGGCCCTCAGGCCACCCTCATGAAGCCTGTTTCTGACTGTTTGGTTAAAGACCTTCACACCAGTGGCCTGCTGGAGGAAATTTTGTAAGGCTCATTGTTGTTTTCATCTAGTGCCCCTTTTGTTAATTTCATTAAAACCAAAGCAGCTGAATCTGATTAACCCCCTCTGCTACTTAACTTACCAGATCAATATCCCAGGAGTTCAATTGACTTGATGCCATATTCTGATTAATAAGTGTTCCTTTAATTTTTTTGGGCAGTGTATAAAAAGTGACAGTTTTAATCTACTTAGTCGTGTGGAAACAGCATGGCTTTCGTCATTCCCTTTTAAGCCAAGCAAGATAACCTCAGAGGTAGAAGGTCTCCACTACTAGATAGAAGCTTTCAGGATATTGAGCTAACCAATGACTAACCTAATGGAAAAAGCAGTATGGATGGACTTACGTTTTACATTTTAAAACTTGTTTGTTTTGAAGTAAGCGTTTATCAGTAGATGTCATGTATGGTTTACACCTTTAGGTGAACCTGGTACTGAGTGAGGGAAGGTCCCTTGGCTTACTCATTCGTGGAGGTGCCGAGTACTCCCTGGGGATTTACATCACTGGTGTGGATCAGGGCTCAGAGGCTGAAAGTACTGGTTTAAAGGTAACACTACAACTGTCATACACACCTTTTTTCCTTTATGAATCTTTTCCAGCATTGCTTAAAGCAATGTAATGATGTGTGGTAACTCAAAACAACCAATTCGATTTTAGCTATTAACACTTAAAAAGAAAAAAAAATGATTGCTGTGAGTGTTTTGTTGTTAACTGCCCTTTGCTCACCACTCAATGACTTCAAATAAAAAAGCCACTTGTTAATCCTACATATTAACCTATTTATCCTGAGATAGGAAAGTGTCCAACCACAAGGACCTCAGAGTAGTAAATGTATTCAGGACTTGTCCAGCTGGCAGTGATAAATTATGCTTTATAGTGATCAATAGATCATTATTGTGAGATCCGCATAGACCTTGTGCGCTTCAAGGTGAATGCAGTTCAAGAAAATGTTCCACTGATTACTATTAAACCACCTATCACTACAATGCCAATCGAGGAGATGGTCACTGATAACAATATATTACAGCAAAAGACAGTCAGGTTTTTAATTGTGGACAACTCCTGTAAGCCTAGGTATACAGTGGCAGAAAAGGTCAGGAGCCACTGGCCTTCCCACCTATCTGAGTGCCATGCTGGTCAAATGTCTTGCAGTTTATGTCTTGCTTTAAAACTCATCAGTGTTGTTTAATATATGTTCATATTTTCTTACCATGGTGTCACCTAAGTTTGTCTCCTTTCGGTACTCAATGTGTACCTACAGTATGTTGTGTCTGCCAGTATAGGTGGCCATTTGGCCACAGTCCCTACTTTCTGCAGTCACTACAAATGTAAATATTTTGACCAAAGTCTTGTCCTCTATAGCAGTAGTCTCCAAACTGCAGTTCTTTGCTTGCTTTTTTCTGGCCCTTGGAGCACTATTTCATTCACTGATACCTACTATGAGGCTTAATTCCCCCCACGAACACCAACAATGGGTTAACATTTTCCCCAATGACACCAACAATGGGGCACAATTCTTCCCAATGACATCAATTATGGGGCACAATTCCTCCCAATGACACCAACGATGGGGCACAATTCCTCCCAATGACACCAACGATGGGGCACAATTCCTCCCAATGACACCAACGATGGAGCACAATTCCTCCCAATGACACCAACGATGGGGCACAGTTCCACTGACACCAACAATAGGGAACAATTCTTCCCACTGACACCAGCTTTGTCCTTCTGAGCTCCATGCAAAAACAGAGACTGCAAAAACAGTATACTTGCTCGTCCAGTTGCCCTACAGTACTAGTAACTGTTTACTGTCTGATGGTACAGTAGGCCATTTAACACTTGCTACAATTAAACACATGCATTCTCAAAACTAGACTTACCCTGTCAGTGGGTTTACTCTCAGGCCTAAAGTAAAACAGTATCAGTCAACAGTTGGTTCTTACTCAGTAGATGACATGTGGTAGTATCATGACCAGAAGACTGCTTATCTTCCATGATTCTTAAACTATAGAGAGTGAGAAAGGTGTTCTGACCATTAAGCCCTGGTGTGCACCTGTAACAGAATCATAGAGGAGAGTAACACAAATTTGGGATGGGAAGGAGAAAAAGAAAACCCAGCAGCAGATTGCAGCACTTAAAAAGTAACAAGTCCAACAATTTCTATATATTTTAAATCAAATGTCTGACATGGCACCTTTAACAGGAAGTTTTTGCAATCATAATTCTCAACAAAAAAAAATCAGTGCCATTACTGCAGCCGGTGCTACCTCCACTGGTATCCTCCATTACATGAAAATACACAATTGAAGTGGAGATTCTACAGCAAGAGTTTTACACCCATTTTTATGACCTAAAGAAGGGAAGATTGTGGTGGAAATGTACAGTATGTCAGTGAAATCTTACCACCAAAGTTGCCACAAGCACACAAAGAACAATTTCATGGTTCATTCCATCAGTATCCACCCAAACCTGAGAGATGTGTTAAAAAATGTTTGTTTTGTCTAATATAAATTACCACAATACTCACTACTAATATCAGTACTAATATTATTACACTAAATTCTGATATTGATCTTGAACATTCCATGTCTTCCTGACATTTATTCCAGGTAGGAGATCAGATCCTGGATGTAAATGGCATCAGCTTCCTCTCCATCCCTCATGATGAGGCTGTTAGAATTCTTCGCTCCTCTCGACATCTTATAATGACTGTGAAGGATGTTGGCCGAGTTCCTCATGCTCGCACTACAGTAGATGAGACTCAGTGGTTAAGTAGCTCATATGCTGGAGATCCTCACTCATCTGCAGGGTGAGTAGTAATGAGCAACAAAATAATTTTTTTATTGATGGCTACTAGTGGAAGGTGACAATGTAGACCTCGCGTAGAGACTGAAGGTCAGGGCCTAGGATGTCAACCAATCAGATGCTAGCTGCCATTTTGCCAAAATAGGCTATATAGTTGTCTTACACCGTATGTAGCTTGCTGGGGCAGCATATCCAACAGTACTCAGGATGTGTGGCAGTTAGATGCCACTTGCAGTTATGTTCCGAGAGATCACTGCAATGATAAGTCAGCAAAAAAAAGGGAAATACAAGGATTAAATCATAATTTTCTGTCGTGCCATCACTGTTCCCATGGTGAGAATTGTACCCGTGATGCCTATCTTTACCTTTAAATAAACTAATCACAAACCTGAAAAATTAAAGTGTTACTAAACCCTGGACCCTGCATTCACTATATCCAGTCTCCCACAGTACACAACATGGAATGCAATTATTTTAATAAATATAAACCGCTAAATATATTTTATCATCAGTAGTTAGAGAAGTCTTGTGACTTCTATCAGTGTCCAGCTGAGCACTGGTTAAAGCTTGTAGGAGGAGTTTTCATTCTCTTCTCACTAACCTTGACCCTCTGTTTTGACAGTGCTGATTGGCCATGCGCTGATCACATGCACCCTTCCAAGAAAAAAAAACTCTCTGAAAATACACACTAAACTGAGTATGTGCAGAGTGTCCCCGAGGCCATGTTCTATCAGGTGATGAAATGGGGAACATGGAATAAGGGGAGGATCAGAGAAGACAGGATCAAACATCTTTTTCACACAATGCAGAAGATCAACCCCTTAGGTTCCACAGTGAGTATAGCAAGCATGCTTTACTGCATATACTGACTGATTTTACTGTTGTGGGTTTGGTAACATTTTATTACTTGTCATCTAATGGTAGAAAATAGCCAGAAGTCACCTATCTAACTACCTGTCAAAATAATAAAGAGATCCAGAGACAAGGGAGGACTGGGAACCATTGGTCTGGTTGGCAAACACAACCAACCAGCCCTTTCATGATAGGGGCAAATTTTGGTGAGCTAAAGAAAACGTTTGCACATGCAAAGTGTGCCATGGTACCTGGTTTGGTGGTCATGGTGAAAGGCGCATGTTCTTAAAGGGCATGGTTTACTGTGCAATGTATTTTCACGTTTTCCAGCATCAGCTTCCTTTTTATCTCTCAGCATTCAGTCACCTGAAATTTCAGTCAAAAAAGTTGGCACTGAAAGACTTTCTCTGCTAGATGTTGAGATTGCAAATCTGAACATGGAGTAGATAACTATATAATGACCAGCAGCTGTCAATGACAGTGGGTCCCATTATGATCTAAATCTGAATGGTGAAGTATGTGCACTAAGGGCCATCAGCCAAATATATCTTATTAGGAATGGGCTGAGAGGGCAAATGCCCACCTACTTGCCAGCCCAGTCCTCTACCTGTTCAGAGAATGAGTAAGAGTTGAGCTTGGTCCCACATCTCCACTTCCCAAGCTTCTATATTGTTCAGCAACACAGCTCTTCACTAGGGAAAGCATTAGGGAGAATCGTGACTTTTACAGGAAAAGTTAAGCCAAGATTTGTATACTTTCATCAGTCTATATCTGTGAATGTGTGTCGGTGATATTCGCCAGAGACGTCTTCTGCCTATACATTTTACATTACACTCTTAGTTTGAATTTCCCAGATTGTTACAGGGCCACTTCAATCTATCATTTGGGGACACTGCTTAAACAGGACTCAAGCAAGCCTTACAGTACATCTTACATTTAAATATATACATTAGATATTTAATTGCTGAAAGAACCAGCCACATTTCTTGCCAAGTTCTGACGTGTCCCTGCAGCTCATGCATTTGTCTGGCTTCCTGGTGTGTTTACGAATGTCTGTGAGCTGTTAGAAGCTCTTGTGATTCTCATACTTGTCCAGTCCTTTTGAGGTTTCTGCAACCTCTAAAAAGCCAATATACATTTTGCAATTGAGCCCCATTACTGTACAAAAGCTGAAAATAATGATATTATATAAACTTTATTGCTTCACTGGGTTCATTTTGGATGGTGTACTTTATATATCAAAGATGCTTTCTAAGCTCTGCTAGGCATGCTTTCTTAAATTCTTTACCCTTCTGCTTCACGGTATAATGGGCCTCGTGTATCAAGTTGTCAGTATTAAGAGCTGTTGAAACCGTTGTGCAGCCTATTAATCTGTATAAGCTGCAATTCTTCTTTTTACGATGTAATTACAGGACAGGGCTTCATCTGTGGGTTGGTAAACATTGCTTTCAGCAGTCCTAACTTTGTTTTTATATATCTTTTTATCTGATGCCCTGAAAAGTTTAATCTTTCCATTAATGGTAATAAAATATCTTTTACGTAAACTAAATTTTGAAAGTCATTGAAATGTATGTACAGTTGCCCTTTTAAAGGAGCAACAGTCATTGGCACATATACAGCTATGCAGCCTGTGTTGCTTCCCAAAAAAGATATAGGCGCAGTAGGGAAGTACATAGGGATCTAGTTAAAGCTGAACTCAAGGCATACAAAAGAAATGTGAATGCAGGTGTAGCCTCATTAAACATATTCTTAAATGCAAGTAATGGAAGTACCTGGATTTGAATCTGAACAGGACAACTCAAATTAGGAGGAAGGAGGAGGGGCAGCAAAAGGAACCAATCAGAAATGCTGCATTTGGACAGAGGCAACTTGCCCTGCGAAACTACTAGTGAATTCGCTTCACTAATGTGAACTCAACATTATGGTGGCACTTCGTATTTAGAAGTGAGCCATTCATCTTGTGCAGCTGTACAATACACTTGAGGATTCATACTGTGAAACACTTTGTGTCCCATGACACTGCATACCTTATCTTCCAGAATGTGTAATTTAGAGGGGGATACCACTGAGCCTGTGCCCCACTCCACTAGTCCAGCTTTACTGCCACCCTTCTCCCAGTGACAGAGTAGGGGTCCCACCGTGCACTAAGCACGGACTTCCATGTGTACACTAATTAACTCCTTCAACTCTCCTGTACCTATGGCTAGGTCCATGGGGTCTCCATGTCATGGGTTTGGTCGCAAATGCTTCAGGGGCACTGACCGCTAGAGAGGGAGTCAAAGCATCAACTCCCTCGCTAACCAGAGGACCTGTCACCCATTCACAGTTTCACTCTGCTGTCTGGATGATATTACATTCCCACCAGTTCCTGGTTACCCGTAGCATCTATATAACTTCCCACCAACTCTTCTGCTGAGTGGATATCTTGTGGTGGCCCTCTAGTTCTTCCACTTCAGCCCTGTGTGTATTAGGCCCTATTCTTTTGGATACGCCATGTACCTTCATGCAACACTTGCAATAACTTCAGACCAGGCATGACACAGTTAATGAAACTTTATTGGAGCTCACCGCACATAAAACAAAAGTTGCCCTAGTGCAGGCTGCCCAAATCATACTTAGCCCAGGACAAGAGTCATTTTAGTCCATGATTGGTAATGTCCTGGCTTCAAGTGTTGCTTCCCAGTGTGTGACCAATTAGCAGGGGTCATGTGCTCCAATGAGAACTACATTGTCCAGCAGGTCTTCCCCTCCAGTCCCATTTGAGTGCTCCCCACTGCCACCTGCTGACTTCCCCCTCCTATTTATTGGTCACAGAAGAGGACAGGACCCAAAAATACCCAGGAAAGGTCTGAGACACAGTTAACCCCTTCCCATCCTGGGCAGCCTAGACCTCTTGAATAACTACACAGTGTATCACATCAGTGCATTCAAGGATACCCCATAAACACCTGCTTACACGCATGCAGGTATGCTAGCAATGAACATGCTGCTAGGAGTAGAGAGCAGTCTCTTGGGCTTACAAAGTCTGTTGCTGCTCCTTTTCTTTCCAATTACAGACTGGAGACAAGGGACTGACCGAATAGAATAGAACCACCACATTAGTTCTGCTGGGTACTTCTAGTTTGGGGAAAAGGTAAAAGCGTTGGACTTTTTAATGGTTGTTGGGATTGGGTCCTCTTGTACTAGTATTGTCACAGGTTGTAATGCCATGGATGTTGCAGATGCCAACGAGGTGCAGCTGGTACTCATCAGATAGCGACTGTTTAGATGTAGCAAGGAGCTTGTTGAAATGTAAAAGGGCAGCATGATGTTCACACTCTTGCCTTGTAGATACAAGGTTCTGGGATTGCGTTCCACAGTAGACACTCTCTATGTGAAGTTTGGATGTTCTAGCTGTATTTGTAGGCAGTCTTCTCTACCTAACTCTGGTTTCCTCCCAAAGCATAGTGGAAGGTCAGTTGGCTTGCATCAGAAACTGTTGTACCACGTTTATGTAAGACTGGGGCAGTAATTGATCTTCATTTTCTCTATAACTGAAACAAATGCCAGTGGTACATAAATGAGATAAAATAGGTGGATGTGTCTTCAGGTACACCATGCTGTTTTGAGTTCCCAACTAAGACACACTTTTCAAACAGCATAAGACATGTAAAAAAGCATGGTTACAAGTAAGGCATTTGCCAAAATAAAAAAAACATGGCCCAAGCTGATACTTTTGGACAGGGCCTACTGCATTTTGTTTCCATTAGAGGTTCTAGTATTGCAGTCAAATATAATACTAGAAGTTTTAGGCATTGGTTTCTTACAGTTACAGTTGATGGTCTTAAAGTGAACATGTGGCTAGGCTATGGGTATTCATGTATTTCCATATTCTTAAAGGGCAAGTTCACCTTTCATAATATGTTAAATGTTATACCTAGTACTCTGTGAATGAGAAAACTACAAGTCTTGACAGCCTTAGTGGCTGTCAGCTTGTAGTTCTCAATGAACTAGTTCATGGATTCTTTCTGTCAGTATATCTGCTTGCCCGTACATCCGTACAGGCAAGCAGATATTCGAATAGGGAGAACAACAGTGAGCGCTAGTCCTGAAAGCGGCTAAGCACTCTAAGCAACCAATATGTACTTAAAATAGAATAACATAAAAATAGTG